TTTCTGTCATGGTCTCCATCTGGTGCAAAAAGAAGCTTCTTTGATGAGGGGTGAGGTACTTATAGGTGGATGTAGGGATAGATATTTAGATGCAATCAGAAATTATAGGGTTTGGGCTGGAGAGATGGCTCAGAGGTTGAGAACATTGGCAGTTCTTCCAAAGGTCCTGAGTTCAATTCCCAGCAACTACATGGTGGCTCACAATCATCTATTATGTAATCTGGTGCTTTCTTCTGATCTGCAAGTACACATGCAGGCAGAATGCTGTATTAAAAAAAAATGAAATTATAGGGTTCATGGCCTCAACTTTTTTTTTTTTTTTTTTTTTTAGCAGTGCTTGAGTCTATTTTTAAGGCTATTGGTAAACCCAGGATATAAGCAAGACTATTGTATTGCACCCTTTGATATATTTTGACATGCTGGTCATCGTGGTTCATAGGATTATAGCCAGATAGGACTAATAATTGCTTTTCTTCCTTAATAGTGCCCATGATGCCTTCCAATACTGAGAGTTGATTCTGAGGGAGAAGGCATCCAGGCCAGATGTAGATAGATTTCTCCCAGTCCTGTGGCTGAAGTGTGTGCTATCTTTAACAATAGAGTCCTACCGTCTCTCTCTCAAAAGCACCAAGAGCTATGGCAACAGCCCATGTTTTGTGAGTCTCTTAGATTCTCTTGACCAACAACTCAAAAGAAAGTTTCCCATGATTTGCATTGGGGTTTATGTTAGATAGTCTATGGTTTAGAGGGGAGTATTGTCACCCTAATTAATATAACCTCAATTAAATTATATATACTATATATGTATATTCACACATACATACATAAACATACAAATCTATATATTATATGTAATTTGTATTACCAGAAAATAGTATGATTTCCTGTGGATTTTTCAAATATTTTTAGTATTATTTAACCATCCTCCTTCCTTCTCCCTCACTCCCTTTTCCTAGGACTAGGATATTTCTTGCAGTTGTCAGGTGAAGTGCTGTACAAATGCCACTTTGGTCTAGGTATCTTATCTCATTCAGCAGTCCTCACTAACACAGGGGTCTTTTATGAGACTGTTTCTCCAACCAAGGACCATGTATGGATATAACCTAGAACCCCTGCTTGGATATAGCTCATGGTAGCTCAGTATCCAAGTGGATATCCTAGTAAGGGGAACAGGGACTATTTCTGACATGAACTCAATGGCTGGCTCTTTGACACCTCCCCTCCCCCCGAAGAAGGAGCAGCCTTGCTAGCCTACAGAGGAGGACTTTGCAGCTAGTCCTGAATATACCTGATAAACCATGGTCAGATGAAAGGGGAGGAGGCCCTCCCCTATCAGTGGACTTGGAAAGGGGCAGGAAGGAGATGACGGAGGGAGGGTGGGATTGGGAGGGAATGAGGGAGCGGGATACAGCTGGGATACAACGTTAATAAAGTATAACTAAAAGAAAGGAGTGGTAATACACATTTAAAGTTGTTCTATGTTTGGGAGGATATTTCATACCTTTAGCACCATAAAACATTCTTCTCCATTCCTTGTTAACCTAGTTTTTCTTGTATTGATACAGCCAGTAAAATTTTCTTTCGTTCAGCATTTATGTGATATCACAGCCACTTCACTTTCATCTATGTCTTTATATTTTAGATTTTTAATCAGGTTTCTTACAGGTATGATTTTGCAATTCATATCTTTTTAGACAGGGTCTTCCCTAGTCTGGTCCACCCTGCAGCTTACAATCTATCCCAGGCTAGCCTCAACCCTGTGGCATACCTCTGCCTCAAATCTCCCAAACGCTGGTATAATGGGCACAAACCACCATACCTAACTAGAACTTGCATTTTTTTTTTTTTTTTTTGCCATCTGGAAAACTCAGTCTTTGAATCGTGAGTTTACAGCACCTACACTGACGTGGCTAGATTAATATTGACCATAGCTATTTTCTGTTTGTTCCATTTGTGCTTTCCCTACCATCTTTTGCCTTTTCTTATGTTAACATTGTTTTATGATTTAACTTATGAATCCACTTATTATTTATGTCTTTACATCTTTATTGGTTACCCTTGACCTCATGTGTTCTTAATTATTGAGGCTAACTTCAAATTATCTCATGTCATTAAAAAATGTATTATAAGGATTTTATATAATGATCTGGTTCCCACTTCTCTTGTCCCTAAGGCTGTGAATAAAAACATTCTAAAAGATTAGGAAGCATACTGTCTGGAAAGATCATAATTCAGAAAGGATTGGGCACATTATTTAAGTAATAGAAAACAATTAGTCTTAGACCAAATGCTTGCATGTCTACCTTTCAAATCTTAACAGCAAGTTCATAAGGATCAAATTCTTTCCAAATATCTTAATTGTAGCTCAGAATAAATTGTATATTCCTCTCCCAAATAATAATAGTGATACAAAATATTTAGAACTTCTGAGAAAAAAAAGTTGAATTTCAGACTCGGGCAAGAAACCAACAGGAGTAGCCTCCATCATCCTAGACAGAAAACAATGATCTGTTATTTAATAAAACCCCTGTAATAGTGAGGTTTTTTTTTGCAAAGAAACATGAGAGCTAAATGCAAAATCAGGGACTCAAATAGCAACAACCCTGAGAGAATTAGCAGCAATACAGTGTGAACTGAAGCCACAGAAATCCTAGGGTAGAAGCAGAAGCAGAAAGGAAAGAAAGCAGGGGTGGGTCCTGTGGGCTGAGGTGACCATGGTGAGAGCTCTGGGTATCCTACCAGGAAGTGACACCTTTCGAGAGTTTTGGGCAGAGAAACGAAATGACCATATTTCTAGCTCATCCTGGTCATAGCTGGGGAGGAAAAGCAGTTTCCTGGTGTTTGCTCTGCTTTTGTTTCTCCAGGAGGTCGGACCAGTCACACCTGTGTTGCTTCCCTGCCTCCCCTCCAGAGTTTCACAGGCCCTCTGTGTCAGCCCAGGTTTCTCAGTTAAGACAGTACAGCTAGGGACAGTAGTAAGGGACTATTGCAAGATTCCAAGGAGAAGACTCAGTGGTGGATTTTAGAGAATTATGAACATGATCCACCCTTGGGAATGCCTTAAGAGCAAATTTTGGAGCAGAATGGGTGGATTTCTTTTAGCACTGATTCATATTACCTCAGGTGTGATGATTTCCTCATATTACCAGGCTGTGTCAGACTTGTGCTGCAGAGTTAGGAAATCATACATCTGAAAGTCTTTCCTAGCACCTTCATCTGCTCCTCTCGACACAGAGTGAAGCCCAAGGCCTCCCTTGTGTTTCTGCTAATACAGTTCGCAGATCAAGACCCAAGGTGAACACATCACATGGTACCCAAGAGCAGAAATATTTGTCTTCACCCTTGGCTGCACAGTGTGACAGGCTGTGTGAGTTTTCTTTTTCTTTTCCTTTTATTGGGGTTTGTTTTCTTGTGTGAGAAAGGCTGACAGACTGTTATGGGCTATTGTGAGAATTAAAAGGTTACTCAGGAAAGGAGAGCTCTTACAACTTTAACAGAAACAGAATAAGGTTTCAGGATTGTGGCATACTAAATACGTAAAATGTCTGAGAGCAGGACTGGGGTTTGCCCCAGATCAAATGTAATCAAGGCTTTGGTGTCATGCTGCTTACTGAGTCAAGACAGCCACGCCTGTACTTCAAGGCAGTCCAGAACCCATGTTCTCTACCGTGACTCAACTTCTAGCCTGTGAATTTCCTCACTATTGGTTTCTGGCATTTGCTCTGCTTTAATTGTCCCGGGAGCTCTGACCAGTCACACCTGTATTGCCTCTCTGCCTCCCCTCCAAAGTCTCACAGGCCCTCCTTGCCAGCCTAGGTTTCTTGTAACGTGGGCACACCCAGGGTCAGGAGGTATGACACTGCCTTGCTAATTAAAAGTCCCAGAGTCCCAGACTGGCTCCCAGCACCTGTAGATACAGCTGCAGTCATAACTTTGATCTCAGAGACAAGAACTTTTGGACAAAGGTAATTTCTGCTGTTCAGAGTCTTGTGAGAGGAAACCTTTCACTGTTTTCTGTCCAGCTCTGGGTGCTGCTGTGGCGACCCAAGGTACCTTGTACTGGAGAAATTAGACTTGCTTATAATCAATGTACTGCTTGTAATTTGCTTATTCCTTGCTTAAATACAATTCTTAAGTGAGGCACTGAGGGTCCTAGCTACAGCAAGATGAGCAACTGGTTCTCATTTTAAGAGACTGTTTACTTAGTACACCTGGTGTTACTAACCCGTCTCCTAGAACCAAAGTTCTAAGAGACAAACTCCTGATACAGCCATGGATGGCCACATGCAGAATCTGTGGCAATGACTCTCTGGATGAAGAGTAAAGGAATGCAGAAGTCAAAGGTGTAGGTTTGCTGCCCAGGAATTCTTGGCTTATAAGCCAGAAAAGCTGTCCTCCACTAGCTGTGGGGAGAGCTCGAACAGAGATGGAATTGCACACCCTGCTTTCCTCTGAGCCTGGTGATGCGATGCACAAGAAGTTCCCAGGCTAATGGATCCTCCTCACCACCCAGATTGATGGTGAACAGCATTTCATAACCACCATAGCCTGGAGTCCTAGGTCTACAACAGTCACTAAAGGGGTGGGAGCTTCTACTCAGGGCCTGCTGGCCTTGAAATATGTTCTTTCTAGGCACACTTTAAAACAGTAATCCAGGTGCTGGAAAGATGGCTCAGTGCTTAAGAGCACTTGTTCTTGCAGAGGACCAGGGTTCTATTCCCAGCACCCACACTGGGCAGCTTACAACCATCAGAGAATCTGGTTCCAAAGGATCAGACTTCCTCTCTTGACCTTCACAGGCACCACACACATCCACATACATACAGGCAATCAAAATACTCATGCACATAAATATATTAAACACCATTAAACATTTGAATGTGATTATGGGGTGAGGACTTAGGGAAGCTCTAAAGAACTAAAGAACTCTTCTAAGATTTTAGGAGCATCTTAGAGAAGAATGTTTTTCTTTTCTCTTTGTTTCTCAGGGCCAGACAATGATGGCTTCCTCTCCACAAGGTCCTGTACTTTATCCTTCTCAAAAAAGCTCTGATGCCAAGAAGGAGTGTAAGTGTGAATCTCAAACTAGTTTGGACCATCTCCATCTAATATCACCAAAGACAATAGGATTGAAGGGGCCTGTTTCATTTTCTTAGCCACAAATCTATTTGCTCTGGCTGAAGTATGCATCCATATTGAAATCTCAAGGCACTTATTTGTTGTAGTTAGAATTGCATGTTCTTTTTGACTAAGATGGTAAAGAAAAATTAAACAACATACTGATGACTGGGTTAAATAGTTCGGGTTGTTGTTGCTACGTAGAGATTTTATACATCAGGAAGAGATAACTCCATAAGAACTGGCAAGCGTTGAACATTTCTTGCAACCAGGAATGTATTCAGTTATTTTCTGCGTTTTGATTCATAAACCAGACCTGCCCTATTTCCCTTTCTTTGATCTTATGGCCACGTCTTCTCAAAACAATATCTATCACAGAAATTCAGAATTCGTTATTATTAGAATGAACCCCAAACCTTAGAGCTAATTATATCCAAACCTGTGTCTTCTGTTTTTCTGTTATATGGCAGTTCAGAGTTTTCCCAGAACCTACAGGGTCCATGATTCCCAACAGATGGTGTGGGTCCTGACTGGAAACTCTTTAATAGCAGTTCCTGCCAGCAACAATGTCAAGCCTGGTAAGTGGCATGTGAAGGCACTGTTACTCTAGAAGAGCTGTCTCTTCTACTGTAAGTGGACACGAGCCTGCACAAGCCTTGTGCTGCTCCTTAGCTCGTAATCAGTAATCAGTCTAATTGATGTTCAGAGGAAATGCAGGAAGAGAAAGGTTTCCCCTTTACAAAGGAAAGCCTATACATAGAAATGACAGTGCAAGGAGACCCCAATTTCCCTTACTAAAGTATCTTCAAGTAGGATAGGCTTGTGTTCCCACAATTTCTGTTTCTTTTTAGAATGACATTCATTTAAATTCCAACTAGAACCTACCCATATGCATAGATTCAAACGCTCTTACTGTCAAACTTACACACTCTTCTCTCTCAGCATCTCCTCTTCTAATAATGGTGCAGTACTCCTTCTCATCAAAAGGAAAGTCACCTCAGCCTTGTCTCATTTCTTTTAACTTCATGTTTTATTTAATTCCTCTCTTAACCTTGCCCACCACAGGTAGACCTCTTATATCATGTCCCTAGTCTTAATACTAAAACTACCTCTTCATTCCCACATTCTATTTCTGCTATGATTTATTTTTTAGTCAGCTTTTCATTAGCTTGATCACAGGCTATCCTCATCACCACCAAAAAAAATTTAAAAATTATTAAATTTTTAATAATTTTTAATAAATCTGAAAGGTTGATTTGGGCTCATAATTTTAGAGTTTTCAATGCTTTTTGCTGAGCTCATTGCTCTTTTAGATCTGTGTCAACACCCACAGATGTTATGGTGGAAAAGAACTACTCACCTTGTGGCCAACAGAAACTAGGGAAAAGGTTCCAACCTTCTTGCTTTAAAGAAACATCATCAGTGACCAGTTAAGTCCTGTGTCCAATAGCTCATTAATGGACCCATTAATGGATTAATCCATTGATGAAGTTAGAACTCTCATGATCTGATCACATCTCAATAGTGCCACCAGTGGGGTTCAAACCTTCAATATATGAGAGTTTGAGGGGATTATTTCATATTCACAGCATAACAACATTCTGTTTTCTTGGGCCAATCATGGAGACATTTCAATGGAAAGTTGTCTATAAAACTTGTCTCCTTTAATTCTTGGACACTTTTATATCATAATAGCTAGCCTCAAAAGTGTAATTTATATGTATTTATACAGTATTCTGTTTGTATATGTGCTGCACAAAACTTCATATTTGGAAGTAAACATACCAAATGTTAATAGTAGCTACTCTTACTCTTGGAAAGTGCATAGAGTTTGCCAGTGTTCCTTACTGCTTTGGTGTAGCTTCCTGCATATACTTTGAATATATAATTAGCATATGTTATTTCCATTGTCTTTATTATACAGTTTAAATCATCTTTTAAATTTGTTACAAAAGCTATACCTTTATTTTTAACAAAAGAAAGATAATATCATATGAACCTTTTCCATAGACATAATTATTATTAATAGTTCTTTTCTACACACAGTATTACTGTAATAATTTCAAATTAACTTTTTATAACTTACTTCTTTAATTTTTGATAAATGATACATATTATTATTTTCCAAAGATATCAATATATGCATGAGTAAAAAATTCTTAGTATAGTCTTTTAAAAAGAAATTTGACTTTAAAAGTTTTCACTCCTGTTTTTGGTCAGTTTATCTTCCAAGACCATCTTTAACACCTGCACCTAAAGAACACACCTGTGTTCTTGCATCACTTGGACCTCCAGTTGCACTAAACTAAATAAAACAATGGATAACTTGGCCTTGAACAGCCTTCCTCTTCCCTTTTTGTAAGACCAATTATGCTTGTGTGTGTTACTGTCTTGTCTTTTGGACTATATTCTCTTGGGAATATCTGAATGGTTGAATGCCCCAAAGCTCAGTCTGCAGTAATACAACCCCATGAAGGGATGGCAAGTTCATCTCTTGGTTCTATATATGACTTCTTTGCTCATCACTCTACCTTTTACATTCCTAACAGAGACCTCTGAATGTTTCACTCATGTCCTCTCCATTATCTGTAGTGTTTTTCCTCAAAAGGAACTGTGAATCTATTAAAAACTTTTGAAAAGGCTCATTAATGGTACTACCACCCACTCTGTTCACTCAAGTTGCAATAAAAGGAGGCACCCTTCATGATTCAGGGATGATTCAACCCATTGGTAAAGACTGCTGACTCCATGTGCACAATATCCCTCATTTCTAAGACACAGTCTCCCACCTGGGCCACCGTCATCAACTCCCTTGCTGTCCTCCTTTCCATTTTGCCTGGGTAGTTCTGTTCCTTCCCTGCAGAGCAGTACCATAAACAGTCTTCTTAATATATGAGATTGAACAAGATTGTGTCTGCGTGTCTCTGTTCACAGGAGAGAGTGCAGGAAGAGATGAGGTGGCCTAAGTGTACCATTTGCCTTCCGATCTGTGAACATCTGTTATGTTCTCCCTTCAGACCCCCTTCACTGTCCTGTTTCCGTCAGTTCATATGATTGTTCTCTCTCTTAACCTCACTATCTGGATTTGAATTCCATTTCTGCAGAAAAGTCTTTATTGAATCTTTTGTCTAAATCTAGCCACTCTTTTATTGATTTGGTTACTTTCCTCAAACAGAGTTTTTGGTGATTTCTCTCTTTACTTCACTGCCCATTTTCTCAACAGTTTATCAATTTTATAGGAAATGACAATGCCTGTCTTACCCTAAGCCAATTCTCCAATGCCCACATAGTGCTTTGTCTTAGATGAATAGTTAGTTAATAAGTAGTTGTTGAATATATTTGTTTCCTGTCCTTCTCCAAGAAATAGATTCACTGTGCTCAAACTCTTGGGAATCTCATCTTAAATTACTAGATAATTAAATTCAAACGAGTGACAGAAAACCCACGCAATGAGAACTTAAATAACATAGTGGTATATTTCTTACATATATAAACCAGTAGACTGGGCAGGCTGGGCTCCACATTGGTCCTGTGATGCTGCCAGAGGTCAAGGATTCTATCTTTTTGCTTCACCAACCTTAAGTTTACCTAAGCTATCACTTAAGTTTTGATGTCAGTAACAAGATTACACAAGATGTGACAGATAAAGTATTTCCAGGTGAGTCTAGTCTCTTAAAGAACAAGTTTAGAAACCCTACAGCATATTTCCCCTCATATTTCATGGTCCACACATAAGTGCATGACTATATTACTACATTTTGCTGCAAAAATAATAATAACAATAATAATTTTTTTTTCGAGACAGGGTTTCTCTTTAGCATTGGATCTTCTGGACTCACTTTGTAGACTAGGCTGGCTTTGAACTCACAGAGATCTGCCTGCCTGCTCCTTGAGTGCTGGGATTAAAGGCATGTGCCACCACTCCTGGCTGATAATAAGATATTTTATTTTATTAATGGGAAACAATGTGTGCAGGTGACAACTGAGGTTCTGATATCAAGAAGAAAAAGGCCTCAGGAAAGCAAGGAAGAATCATTGTTATGTGGCTAACTTTGATGGAGAAAGATTCTTACCCCCCTCATTTGGGAGAATAACAGGGTGGGAGGTGAAAAGACTGCCTGGAGTTTCACATCATCCCTTTTCTCCTTATGTTTCTAGTCGTTCTTAGCGTGATGGCATGTAGAGACACAGAATTCCAAGATACAGAAAAGGGTAATCTAGTTTTTCTGGGAATCAAGAACAAAAAGCTGTGTCTCTTCTGCATGGAAATTGACAGCAAACCCACTTTGCAGCTTAAGGTGAGTGAATGCATCTGATAAGAGAAATAAACCAGATAGACTTCTTATCTAAGATACCTTACCAGGTTGTAAAATGATAAAAATGATAGCCTTGCGAGCATGTACTATTCAGAGTAAGGAAGAAAGCCTCACATGGCTGGTCCCCAAATAAGTGACAATGCCACTGTTGTTTTTTAATCCCAGTGTATAGATCCTGCAATGACCAAAGCATCAAAGCCATGAAAATGTTTCTGAAATGTGAAGAAACAGTGCATCTCCATCTTTAGTCCTGAGTAACTTCCTCCTAGACAACCTCAGAAACGCTAATATGCCACACCTAGGCAAAGGATTGCTTATCTGGACTTTTCATAGTACATGTTGTATCTGTGTGCTAAAAAGATTTGTTAGTCAAATCCCTTACTAATGATTAAAAATTGTAATTCATAAATTTATTCAGAGGCTGGACATGAACTGCATGAAGCTGTAGGTGGATGCATGCCAGGCTGCATACCCACCTCATTCTATTCTAGGGAACACAGTGCCTCAAAGAATCAGTAACCCCCTCTGTCATGGGATCCTGAGAAAAAGCAGGCTATTGGAAACTAGTGGGTGCCTGTTTTGATAGCGTGTTATTATTATTATTATTATTTTTTCATCTGCCTGTATCTCTAACTCCTGTCCCTCCTATTGGGAATAGCAGTTACTCCCATGATGTGCACTCAATGCTCAGTTACTGTAGCACTTTCTCTCTGGTATTCCTCATTAACAAGACTCTTTCTTACTCCTAGGATGTAGACATCACTGAAGTATACAATGAGAGCAAAGCACAGAAAGCCTTTCTCTTCTACCATGACACAGAGGGCTCCACGTCTGTTTTTCAGTCAGTCTCCTATCCTGGCTGGTTCATAGCCACCTCTTCCACCGCAAGACAGACAGTCACTCTTACTCAGCAGAGGGGTGAATCTAATAACACTAACTTCTACTTAGAGCCTGAGGATTTGTTGGTATAATGTCCTTTTGGAATGTGTACAATTTACCCTTGTTCATTCAAATGCTGATTTCTCTCCCCCACTATCTGGTTTCAATCCGGACATTGCATTGTGATGCTTATTCTAGGCATCACTTGTCTCAAGTTTGTGTAAACATGCCTCCATTTGTTCTCTAAATTGTCAATTAAAACAACCAGCCACAATGTTGAGCAATGGAGAGGATAGGGTGGGACATTCTGGTCTGGAGTGGGAGGAAGAGAAAAGAAGCAGGAGAGGAGAGGAAAGGAGGAGAATCTGGAGGAGAGGTCTTGGAACCACGTGGAGAAATGAACCGGACCTAAGATATCACTAAAAGCAAGTATAATGGCTAAATCTGAATGGTAGAAAACTATGCGGGGTTGGAGGTTTAGGATGGAGTAACTATTGCCCAGCATTGTGCTTTAGGTTAATTAAATAAACCCTAGTTTCTGTGTGGTGATTTGGTTATACAGCTGTTTAGGAATAATTGCTGCTTAAGTAAAACATATATCAATAGTAAATATTAATATACCACAACAAGGATTAGATCCAGCATGAACCATATGTGGCTGATTCCAGGACAAAGAACCAAACTGTTGGAGAATCTTTTACTTGAAAACACAGCAAAGCATCTTAAAGAAAAAAAACCAAAAACAACAACAACAACAACAACAACAACAAAAAAAACACCATGCTATCTCTTCTCCAGACATCCATTTCTGAAGTATCACTCATTTGGACATCATTCTAATGCAGCATGAAGCCCAAAATCTTGTATCCTTTTATCCTTTTCTGATCTTGTTCCACCATCCATGCAGCTACCCAGTCCAGTCAAGTCACAGTGTTCTTATGTGCAGCGCTCCCTCCCTGTTCTCACAGCAGCCCTTGGTGCAGAGATGTGGAGTCCAGTCAATCTAAGGTTCTTCCTTCTTAACTTTATGCATGTTTATTGAAAATATGATAAATAACTAAAAATAAATCTCAAAAATGAGGCAATATAAAAGGATACTTTCTATGTCTTGGTAATCACAATAGATTCAGAACATCATCAGCTAAAATATGACACACAATGTATACTTGTATTATGGTGACTATTAGCCAAAGTGAATATAAAATGAATCCAAACTTCAAAGACTCATTCACATTAATTTGAATTTCAAGCACATTATATTGTCTTTATTTTACTTTGCATAGTGATTGGAAATTGAAGATTGGTTCTGATATTTCCTTGTGTTTTCTGAAATTTTCGCAGTGTTTGTGGGGATAGTTTTAAGTCAGTTTTTTTATTTTGTGAAGGTGTGGTTATTTGAATAAGAATGTCCCTTATAGACTCATATTTGAATGCTTGGTTACCAGGGAGTTCAACTATTTGAAAGGATTACAAGGCTTAGGCAGTGTGGCTTTGTTGGAGTAGCCATGGTCTTGTTGGAGGAAGTGCGTCACTGAGTGGGCTTTGAGGTTTCAAGAGCCCAAGCCAGGCCCAGAAAAAAATTTCTCTTCCTATGGATCCGGATGTATGACTCTCAGCCTCTTCTTCAGCACCATGGCTGCCTGTGTACCCCTGTTCTTCCAGCCATGATTAATAATAGATTTTCTTCTGAACCTGTAAACAAGTCCCCAGTTAAATACTTTATCTTATAAGAGTTGCTGTGATCATGGTGCCTCTTCACAGCAAAAGAACAGTGACTGAGATAGAGGGTTACTTTAGCTAAAAGTCACATGGATTGCAATAGACTATGGGATCCTGAATATAAAGATAAGCATGGTAAGTTGTCTTCCTTCAGGCCTCACATATGCAAATCAGTACATTAGGACTTATGATGCTGCAAACCCACCATTGAGTTAAAAGTTCTTGGCCAGGTGAAATATGTTCCAAAACCTGTCCTGGAATTATCTCTTATACTGTCATCACCCATGATTCCTTTTGGGATACTCCTTGAATCCTGCTTTACATCTCATAGCTTGCCTTTTAGTCCTGCCATTTTTATGCAAGAAGTTTCAAGAACGTACTATATGACAGCTTGCTATCTCAGTCACATTGCTTATCTCTTCCTATTCTCTAGGACATCTGGTAAAGGATTGTTGCAGGCCTTGCTTGGTACTCACACATGCACAAATGTGGATGTATATGTATGTGTGTGTGTGTGTGTGAGAGAGAGAGAGAGAGAGAGAGAGAGAGAGAGAGAGAGAGAGAGCTGTTTTATGAAGAACATTTGACCAGTGTACATGGGAGTGGGTCAGGGATAGCTACTCTTTTCTATCAACAGAGATCTGTGATGTTCTCTGTGTTAGTCCTCTGAAGGTTTCAGCAGGACTAAGAAAATCATAAACACTGAACTCAAGAACTCCTCCCTGCATTGATCTCCCTCATTTTCCTTCTTCAATTCCCCAGCTCCAACTCTTGCTCCCTGGAGCAAGATTTTTCATTGCCACACATGCAGGATACCTTTATCTCAGAATCTGCCCTAGAAGAACGGATTCTATCAAAGTAAGCATCTCTGTTTTTCACTATCCATACCATTATTGGATTTTTTTTTTTTTTGCCTCTTTATTTCTGTTAATGCCTTCACATGTGTCTCTGACATGTTTATCACTTCACAGCTCGTCAGTTATATCTTCTTTTTTGGTTTTTCAAGACAGGTATTCTCTGTGTAGCTGTGGCTGTCCTGGAACTTTCTCAGTAGACCAGGCTAGTCTCAGACCCACAGAAACCTGCCTGCCTCTACCTCCTGAGTTCTGGGATTAAAAACATGCACCAATACTGCCTAGCCTGTTGTATCTTCTTACCACCCTAAATCTGACCTATTTGGAGGCCACATTCCATCTCCCAGCCAAAGGCAACACCTTCTCTTTAAAATCACAGAAATTTTACTTTCTTATGGAAGATTTCTTTTGTGTGGCTTTGTACTATTCTCGTGTGCTGTATAACAATTCCTCAAGAAATGTTGCTAAAATAAATTATCACTGCGTACTGTGCATCTTACATCAATACCAAAGTGTGTTGGCAAGATGTCACCTTGCAAAGGCATAGGAAGTATTCCGCTCCAAGGAATTACTTAATTAATTAAGCTCCTCAAAGAACATGAAGCTAAAAGCCAGAAAGGCTGCTTAGTAACATTTAATCTCATTTTCTCTGCTTCTTTTCCATATGATCCTTGTGACTTCAGGAAACTTTGGGCATGTAAGGATGTCTGCTCAGGAAATGGTGGGTTCAGATAGAACAGGATGAATATTTATGGAGGGATTCCAAGTAGTGTTCACTGCATGCCTCTCAGAGTGTTCTGGGAACAGTCTGAGGGTTTCTAAACCCCCCCCCCATTTCTTTGCATTACATTCTTTACATTTCATTACTTTACAGCCTGTTTCCAAGTCCTACCCTCATGACCTCCTCCTCCCATTCTCCCCTCTCCTTCTCAGAGAAGAGGAGGCCCCTAAGGGGTATCAACCTACTCTGGCACCTCAAAAGTTATAGCACTGTGCCAGACAAGGCAGCCCAGCTAGGGGAAAGGGATCCAGTGACAGGCAACAGAGTCATAGCCCCTACTCCTATTGTTAGGGACCCACATGATGACCACACTGCACATCTGCTACACATGTGTAGCGTGCCTAAGCCCAGTCCAAGTATACTCTTTCGTTGGTGGCTCAGTCTCTGTGAACCCACATTGGGTTAATTTAGGTCTTTTTTTTTTGTAGGTCTTTTTATGCTGTCTTTGTTCTATCTGGCTCTATCCTTCCTCCCACTCTCCCACAGCACACCCAAAGCTTGACCTACTGTTTGGCTGTGGGTCTCTGCTTCTGTTTCCATCAGCTACTGGATGAAGCCTCTCAGAAAATACTTATACTATCCGTTCCTGTCTGTAAGCATAGCAGAATACCATTAATATTGCTAGAGGTTAGCTCTTTCCCATTGGGTGGGTCTCAAGTTGGGCTAGTTATTGGTTTGCCATTCCCACAATCTCTGCTCCATCTTTACCCCTACACTTCTTGTAGGCAAGATACATTTTGTGTTGAAAGTTTTATGGGTGTGTTGTTCCCCTCCATCCACTGGGAGTTCCACCTGGCTATAGGACATGTTAACTTCATGCTCCTTAACACCTGTTTCTTGGAGTGTCAACTAGGGTCACCTCAATAGACACCTGGGGAACCTCCTCTGCCCCAGAGATGCCCTTCCCACTAATTTTTGTTTTCTCTCCTGATTCTTTCCCTCAACACCCTCCTCCGCTCTCCACCCACCTGATCCATACTCCCTTTGCCCTCCCCAACCTCTCTTCCTCTCAGTTTCCTCCCTCCATCTTCTCTGAATGTCTATTGTATTACCTGTTCTGAGTGAGATTCAAGCATCTTCTTCTCTTGGGTCAATGGATTGTTTTATGGTTATCCTGTACTTATGGATAATATCCACTTATAGGTGAGTACATACGTGTGCATCTTTCTGGGTCTGTTTATCTCACTCAGGATGATCTTTCCAGTAGCTGAGTAGCCCAGCACTCAGTTTGAGGCTAGCCTGGTCTACAAAACAAGTCCAGGACAGCCAAGGCTACACAGAAAAACCCTATCTGGAGTCCCCACCCCCCAAAAAAGAAACAACTGAGTAGTATTTCATTGTATAAATGTACCACATTTTCTTTAACCATTCTTCATTTGAGGGACATCTAGGTTATTTCCAGTTTCTGGCTATTGTGAGGAAAGCTGCGGTGAACATAACTGAGCAAGTGTCTTTGTGGTAAGGTAGAACATCTTTTAGGTAAAAGCCCAGGAGTGCTACAGCTGGGTCTTGAGGTAGAGCTAGTCCCAATTTTCTGAGAAAGCTAGATTGATTTCCAAAGTGGTTGTAAAGTATGCACTCCACTAGCAACGGAGGAGTGTTTCCCTTGCTCTGCATCCTCACCTGCATGAGCTGTTTACTTGAGTTTTTCTTAGCTATTCTGACAGGTGTAAGATGGAATCTCAGAGTCATTTTGATTTGCATTTCCCTGATGAATAAGAATTTTGAACATTTCTTT